TTGTCCTACTCGGCAGTAAATAATGACTCTACTCCACATTCAAATACCACCACTTCTTAGAATCAAAGCTACAGATTATTTTAATATGTGAATCCAAAGGCATGCATATATGCATGAAAAATAAAATCGGCTATACAAATTTTAAACTTTTGAATCACACATAGATGGTCACAGAATAAAATTTATTTTCTCTAAAACACTTTCATAATTCAGCATGTTGTAATATATTTCTACAAGAGCAATATTTGTTTTCTATTACTGCATAACCAATTACCACCAACTGAGAGGCTTAAAACAACATCTATTTTTTTAGCTAACAGTTTTGTAAATTTATAAACTTCAGGCATGGCATGGTGGGGTTCTCTGTTCAGGGTCTTACAAGGTTATCATCAGAGTTTCTGCTGGGCTACTTTCCTTTCTGGAGGTTCTGGAGAATAATCTGCTTCCAACTTCTTTCAAGCTGTGAGCTAATTTCAACTCCTCTTGGTTCTAGGACTAAGGTCCTCTTCTCCTTGCTGGCTGTCAGTTGGGGACATTCTCAGCATCTAGAAGCCATGTGCCTTGCTAGCTACACAGCCCCTTCCATCTTTAAAGCTAGCAACGGAGAATTTATCCTGTGTCAAATCTCTCTAGCTTTGAAATTTTGATTTCTTTTGTTTCTGAGCTCTAGACCAATGACGTAAAGCATCAGCATCATCATCAGTCTTTCAAGAGTCAGGTTTCCTTCAGGAGGAGTCCATAAGATAGGTCTAACTATGATTTGAATTCCATTTCTCTCCCATTATGTTCCCGCTGCCTGTGGGATCAAGAGGTATGATTAGACATCTATTTTGTAGTCCTTAAATTTTCAGTCGCACTTGAGAAAATCCCCACACATCCTTTGACTGAAGGTTAAAACATTCTTCGACAGGCAACTTCTAGAAGGGTCAACAGAGTCTCATCTCCAATGCTTTAAGTTCTAATGACTACCAAGGAAGAGACACCTGGCCCAGTTTGGACTGATCAAGAAGACATTCATAAGAGTGTAAGCCTCAGCTGGGTAACTTGCATCCACAGGAGGAGGTGACCAGGCCAAAGAGGAAGGATGTTCTTGGTAGAAGGGATCACATGATCTTAAGCACTGAGATGGGAAAGAGTGGTGTATTTATGGCACTGCAGAAGTGGGAAAGGGTGCTTCTCAGACATGGTTCTGATTTATGTATTATACAGATCAATCTCACACCATGTGGAGGACAGATTTGGGCAGACTGCAGGCAGAAAAATGAGTTAGAATGTTATTATGGGGGTCTATGGAGATTATGACAAGGCCTGGATACAGGCAGGTCCTCAGACCATGGGGCTTACAACAGCAACACAGGGCCCCCAGCCTGGAAAGTACTGGATGGCTCACTGGGTTGCCAGACCAAGATCTCATTGAAAGGCCTTGGCCTGAGGGATGGGCATGAGCCAGTGGGTGGGAGTGGGCTGCTAGCAGGAGGGATTTGATCATGACTCTAAATAAAGGGCATCATCAAAGGGCATAAATAATGTTCTTGCCTCTGGTCTGGATGGTTTTGAGGAATCAGGGAGAAGGTACAGAACCAAACTCTCTAGATGTAGGAAGGGAGAAGGATCCAACAGCTTGGAAAGGTTTTGCCTGGATACAGAGTGAGGAAAACCAAAATAGCAAGGAGATAAAGTACATGGTAGAACTGTAGCTACCATAAGAAGCACCAATAATTCCTTTGTATAAGATTGATAACACTTAGATAACTACTAATTGATCTGAATTCTGGAAGCTATGATATGCATTTGGATGTTTAGAAAAGTCTGTGAAGAGTTTAAGAGATCATAATGTTCCTATTTGTAGCTACTTATACCCTTATATACTTGGATGCAGAAGCTCACATGCTGCAACAGCAAATAACTCCAGATTCTCCCTTCTCCAAATTCTCAGTGTTTTCATTTATGATTTGATTGACTACTATAAAGTTGACTGCTATAAATGCATACTAATAACAATTTTCAATAAGTTTAAACTATTGATGTGACGACCTAGAAAGAGGTCTTAGAAATTAGAAGGAGCTATTTCCTATCACCATTAAAGTCAGAGGAAAACCAAACTATATTTATTAGTCATTTTCACCATTCATATAATAGTCTGAAAAAATTCGATTTTGTTTCATTTCCTCTAAGAAACTCTCTTATCCCTCCCAAGGGAAGTATGAAACAACATCTAAATTATCACAGAATTCTTTACCTGTTCTCCTTTTTAAAAAATTGTTTATATTCTATTTTTTTTTAAGTTTTAAATGTTCCTTTTGTTGTGCTAACTAGGTTAGTCTATCACCCTTAACAAAGACTTGAATTTCAAAAGGTGCATTTCTGAAGCCGAGCAGACAACTAGGTTATGACAAAAAAAGAACAGTGGAAGCTATGTATTGGTTTTTCTCCAGTGAATATCAGTAAATTGCTTGTATTATTCAAATGAAGATTCATATGAGAGTTCCAAAATACAAAATAATTGAGCTTGATGAATACTGATATGATATAGCTATACGACAAGGGGAAATAATCAGGCAGTGTCATGTGCACTCAACACCATTATTTAATACAAATTTAATGCAGAATTGTTGATTATGAGTCATGGGCTGAGCTAAGGATACAAGATATGGTGTAAAGAACCAAAGTTGTCATGGGATAATTTTTCTGTCTTCTTTGGTAATTCAGTGACGTGTTCTATTCAAGACACTTTGGACCTAAGAAAAGAAACCAGCTCAAATCAAAACAGGGAGGAGGAAAGTTTTAGAAAATAATCTCATAGACGCAACATCTGAAATGAAGCCAGTCCTAATGATAACTAATAGTCTCTTTGACTTTCAGGAACAATATGGTCTCTCTCTGTTGGACTGCTCTCTGTTGGACTGCTCTCTGTCACCACTGATTCCCACACTAGAACACAATCCATTTGGCCAACACTCACTAGCACCCACCACTGGATGTCACAGATTTGGGGTCACTTATTTCACATTCTCAAGAGTAAGAGCCCAATTTCTCACAGGCTGGTCACTGGATGAATCACCCTTGGGTCAGATATCCATTTCTAATCCAATCAGAAGTTGGGAATTGAGGCACAGCATACAACATGGTCCCACAGACCTGCTCCTACCAGCAGCTGGGAGTGGGTAAAACAAAATGAAAGATGTATAGTATGCAAAAATATCACAGAAAGATTAGGAATACGCATTGAAAAGGTAATCTGACCAATAGTGAAACAATGGGTTTCAAAGCAAAATAGATGTTGTTTAATGGTGTGTATGGACCTAAAACACCTGACAGTCTTAGCTATGTTTGCCATTAACAAAAAGCTCTTCAAATAGGTATGACTACGTGTACTAAGTCAAATATACACTTATAAATATTATTTTTCTTCCTACCTTAGATTCACCACCTTCAACCAGTCAACCTTCTGTAAACAATTTTAAGTGGATACAATTCACTTTTCCTTTTTCTTGTCCATCCTGCTTTGGTTCATTTGAGAGTTCAGACAAGTCTGTGATGAGTTTAAGAGATCACAATGTACCTATTTGCAGCTACTTATAGGCTAGGTACTTGGATACAAAAGCAGATATGCTTCCACATATCCTAAATAAGGCTTTGCAATTGAAAATGATATTCCATCTAAGTAATCTAGTCTAAAACAAGAGGTGCAATGATTTCCATTTAAAGGTTTACCACTGTTTGACAAAGAACAATATTAAAAGACCAATGGCAGATGTCTCTAATAGGAAACATTCCGACTACAAATTTACTCTTACAATGATAAAACGTTTTAGAGCAATGGATACAATGATGTTTTAATTCTTTTGTGGCAGCAGGCAGCTAAGAGACCACCACACTCATGCTCCTGCTTCCTGATCAGAGTGGCTGTAGACCTTAGGTCTAAGAATCCTTGCCCCACTTCCATCTATGAGAGGCCACGTGACTGGTTCTCACCAATGGACTGCAGGTGCAGAGATGCAATTGACAATGCAATTGACGATGAGGCCATAGAGGATGGCAGGGCTCTCAAGAAAGAAGCTGAGACCTTAATCACTGCATGGAGGGGAAGCTGAGAAGCAGCCCCTGACCAGCATCCTCCGCCTCTATCTGTTGCAAGAATAAGAAACAAACTTCTATCGTGTTAAGTCACCATAATGTTGGAGTTTATTTGCGCCAGCAGCTTTCATTTCCTTAACCAAGACACTTCCCTAAAAGTATAGAGTGTCAAAAACACAACAGAACGAGATGACGGAAAGTACAACGCATTTTTGGGAAATGAAAGCTAAATCTTGTAGAGTTTTATTTATGTTTCTTTCACACACGCAGTCACACACTAACACACAGTCACACACATTTATATTTTTAAATGTGAAAACATGGTCCTGAGGCAGATAATTTATTGTGTGGTCAAGTGACTAAGTTTTGTTTTGTTTTGTTTTTTAAACATTTCATAATCACAAACTGACGCCAAATGAATAATTGTTCTATCTACGAATTTGAAATATTTTTACGCATGGGGAATTGCAAGTGTGGTTGATATTTGAGGAGCAATTTCATAATTTAGCATAATATATTAGCAAACAATATAGGTTACATCAAAATGTTCTTTCTTTCATTTCTGGAAACTGCAACTCTGGATCATTTACCAAAAAAAAAAAAAAAAATCCAAACTGGGAGATTGTGATATGGCATCTCCTGATTTCCAACAAGTTAAGTGAATACAAAGCCTCCCTTTGTGTAAAATTTGCATAATTTGCATTCAGGGCAGGCGTTAATTTTGTTAAAAGAGTTTCAAGTACAAATCAGGCCATTTAGGATACCTTTTGAACATCTTAAATCAGGTCGGTTATAATTCCCTTCCAACATCTGACTGAATGTTCCAACTCCACTGCCAGGTTTGTAAGGAGAAGATAAACACCACAATTGACTTTCACTGGCAACTCAAAGCACAGACCTGCGAAGAGCAGTGTGCCCAGTACCTGATGCTGCTCATGCTGCCCGTCTCCGATCCAAGCTTGCATCGCTCCAGTTGGCTGGCTACGATCTGGCGTTCTGCCTCCAGCTCTCGGGTCAGTCTTTCAAACTGTAATTCCTGAAATAAAACCACCAAAAAGATTAATTCTATCTTCTATTTGAAAAGTGGAATTCAGCTCAAAACGACAGGATGATGGAGGGGAAAAAATCTGATTTACCAAGATGCCAAATTTGAGAAGTGGAGGATGTTGATGCGGAATCAAAGAAAGATCTGCAGTTGAGACAGATCTGAGTTTAGACCATAGTCCTGGGACCCACCGGCTGCAGGGCCTTGAATAAGTTATTTAATCTTTGTAAATATCAGTTTCATCATCTGTAAAAGGAGTTTACAATACTTATTTCATAAAGTTGAGGTGAGGATTAAATGAGACATTGTCCTTGAAAAATTACCCCCTGCCATGTTTGGCAGATGGCCAGTGTCCAACAGATATTACTACTCCTGTCACCAAAAGTGTAAAATTTAATAAAGAAACAATTCATTTTTCTATCATTTGGAATATTGTGTTTATTCTCTATTGGGCTTCTAGGTGCCTCTATATCCTAATTTGATTCTCATATTACACACTGTAGGCTGAAGGAAAATAATGCTCAAATCCACACTTCTTAATGCTTTAAATTCCAGCAGAACGGCAGGGATACTGACTCTACACAGCCTAATTACTAAGTGAATACCCTTTGAGATATTTGCTATATCACCTTAAAAAACAGCCAGTTGAGGGGCCGGCCCAATGGCATAGTGGTTAAGTTCAGCGGACTCCACTTTGGCAGCCCAGGGTTCACGGGTTCGGATTCCAGGTGTGGACCTACACCACTCATCAAGCCATGCTGTGGCAGCGACCCGCACACAAAATAGAGGAAGACTGGCATTGATGTTAGGTCAGGGCCAATCTTCCTCAAGCAAAAAGAGGAGGATTGGCAACAGGTGTTAGCTCAGGGCCAATCTTCCTCACCAAAAAATAATAATAGGAAGAAGAAATAGCCAGTTGAACCAATGAAAAATGCTCCTATGGAGCTGTCTGAAATCCTGGTAAAGGATTAACTTTAAAGAAAAAGGGTTCAATCAGTACATTAAGGATCTTAGCTGTTCCAACTACAGGATTTTTGCACCATATTTTAATCTTTATATTTTATTTTTCCATACACTTAAGTTTTTTAATAAACATAGTTATAGCAAATCATGTATTTTAACTAAAAAGTTCTAGAAAAGGTTTTATAATGTCACATTTAACCTCTTTTAAAGGACAAATTATCTGCACAGTTATGTTTCGGGGTGGGAAAACAGGAATGCTGAAAAATACTGCAGAATAAGGAAGCGGTCAGTTTAGAATTAAAACTGTCAATATTGCAGGGATCTGTCTTCCCAGAAAAGATGAGTTTATTGTATGTGTTACCCAGGGACACTCTTGGGTGAGACCTTTAAAAAGTAGGATCTGGTGTGTCTTCTATATATATTAATAATACCCTTGCTCTTTTCCACAAGAGCCGATTTTTTTTTCCTGTTGATATTATTTCGGGGATCTAAGTGAGAGACACTTTACAAATTAGAGCTGAACTTTTCCCTTTAAAATGCTAAAACTGAGGAAGCATGTTGTTGTTGGAGATCAAATTTTTATTCTTATATATTCTGAAGGACAGTAAAGATTATTCGTAAGGAATGAATACCAAGACCTCTGGTGAATGCATTTTGTGCATCAAACCTTCCCTTCTATTCCCTGCAAGTTCTACTGCCTTTTTTTTTTTTTTTTGGCAGTTCCTTTCCACAAAAATATGCAAGTTCTAGGATATTTTTCATTTCCAGGCTTTATAATATATTTTATCTTAAATCTGTCTGTGTAACAGGAAATCACCTCATACCTTTGAGTTGATAACACCTTAAAAACATAATACTTAAAGATCATATAGAACTGCTCACAGGTAGATGGAAATTCATTACTTGTATTATCTAAAGTACTTTAATTTGCTGCATGTTTGCATACATTACAAGTAGTCAAATATGGCAAGACAGTGCAGAAATCTGAGTCGGGATTCATAAACCTTCTTGGGCTTCTGCTAGAACAGACATTGCTCTTGGGTGTGTTTGCTGAAGGCTGTGGTCTCACTATATGTTTTTTTCACATCAGTTTTACGGGAAGGAGGTGACAGGAGACACTTTTTCATGCAAGCTGCCTTCTAAACATATAGTCACAATTCCCAGTGCTCTTTATCACTCTGTGTAGATCTATATTTCCATCTGGCATAATTTTCCTTCTGTCTGAAAGACTCCCTTTAGTATTTCTTTTTTTGTGGTTCTTTTGATGATGAATTCTTTTGGCTTTACATACCTAACAACAATCTTTATTTTGCCCTCATTTTTGAAAGGTATTTTTGCTCCACTGTCCTCTCATTTGCATTGTATCTGACAAAAAAACCTATGGCATTCCTTGTCTTCGCTTCTTTGTATATACAGTGTCTTTTTTCCTCTGCCTCCTTTTAAGATTTTCTCTTTATCACTGGTGCTGAACAACTTGATGGAAAGTTCCTTGGTGTACTTTTCTTCATGGATCTTATGCTTCGTGGTCATTGGGCTTCTTGGATCTGTGAATTTATAGTTTCCATCAAATTTGGAAATTTTTCAGCCATTAACTCTTCAAAAAACTTTTTCTCTTCACCACTATCTCCTCTCCTTCCGTGACTACAATTAAGTGTATATTAAGTCACTTAGAATTATCCCACAGTTCATGAATTCTTTTCCATTTTAAAAATTATTTTTTTCTCTTTGTGTTTCATTTTGGATAGTTTCTATTGGTGTCTTCGACTTAACCAATCTTTTCTTCTGCAATGTCTAATCTACCCTCAATCCCATCAAGTGTACATTTATCTCAGACATTGATAAATCAAATATCTCTAAAAGTTTCATTTGAGTCTTTTTTATATCCTCAATGTCTCTATTTAACTTTTTGAACATATGGAATACACACATAAAATTGTTTTAATGTCTTGATTAGCTAATTCTAGCAATTGTGTCAGTTATAACTGATTGATTTTTCTTCTTAGTTTGAGCCATATTTCTCCTCTGTATGTGTCACAGTGATCTTTGACTGAACATAAAAGATTTTGAAGTTTATCTTGTTGTGTTCTGGGTATCTTCATATCCCTACAAATATCTTAAGCTCTGTTCTAGGGCACAGTTAAGTTACTTGGAAGTAACGTGATACATTTGAGTCTTGTATTTAAATTCGATAGAAGCAACAGAATAGTATTTAGTCTAGGGCTAATTACTCTACACTCCCTAGGCAGACCCTTCTGAGTACTCTATGTTGTATGAATTAAGGGGTTTCCCAGCTTGGTTGATGGGTATAAGCATATACTTCTGGCTCTGGTGTGAGCACCAGCTACTATTTCCTCCCATCCTTGCAGATGGTTCTTTCCCTGCTCCCTGGTGGTTTCCTTATATACATGGCTGCTCAGCTCTCTGCTGAATAGTAGAAGGGGACCCTCTGCAGATCTCAAAAGTTCTCTCTATGAGCAGTGATCACCTTTCTCCTATTTTGCCCTGCAAATTCTAGCCACCTTTACCTCCCTGGACACTCAGCTCTGTCTCCCCAGCTCAGGGAGTCCTCAGTGCTCTTCTACACTGTTGTGGGGAAACTCTCTCAAGGCAGTAAGCTGGGAAATTGTAGGGCTCACCTTATTTGCTTGGTATCTCTTAAGAATCACGGTCCTTCATTGCCTGAAGTTCAGTGTCTTGAAAACTGGTGTTTCATATTTTTTGTCTGTATGTTTTTTTTGTTGCTCTTTCAGGTAGGAAGGTATTTCTGGGCCCTCTTACTTTATCTCGGCTGAAAACTGGAAGTTTTTCAAGAATTAACAATATTTCCCCCCATGGTTGATTTGTAAACACATATTTTCCACTGTATTTAAAAATGCACACTAAATGCACTACTAACCAGCTAAGTACTCAGTTTTTACACATTTTCTTTAATGTTGTTCACAACTAGGGTATTAAAAATAGAGGCTACTTTGGGTTACTTGTTGCTTTTATTTGCACGATGATTTTTTAATCGAATTGACATTTTCTTTATTAAGGAAACTGAATCAGCATGTTGCCTTTTTAAAACGTCCATTCAATAAATGTTTACTTTTCGTCGTGTATATGAAACAAGCAAGTAATTAAGTGAATTTTCCCTCTTTGCTTCACTAAGGAGTACATAGTAAATGTCAAGGTCCTCAAGGAACAAGGAAGTTTCTCCTTTTCATCTAAAATTCTGTATTTTATTGATATAATAACACAAAACATAATAAAATTGGAGGCTAAAATTTTTATTCAGCACTTACTATTGAGAGCTTAATTACTAGGACAGCATATCAGGTGGAGACTTTCCCTGCTGGGTTGCCACTGTGTCTAGTGTCTAGAGCAGCCCTGGCACACAGTAGGTGCTCAATAAATATCTGTTAAATGAATGTATCTGCACTGAGCTCAGTGCTTGACATGTATTACCTTGTGTAAACAGCATCAAACTGCTTTTTCCTAGGTTCTGTTTTTTCTTCACTTTACAAAAATGTTAAGATAAATAAGGTGAAAGGATTAGCCTTGGTCAGGAAAGAAATTCTTCCTTCAAAAGTAGGAAAGAAAATGAGATCAAGGATGGTGTTTTAGGAGAACTGGACATAGAGAAGGGGGATGTTGAAGGAATTCATTAATATGGGATGGACTAAATAGTCCCAATATTTTCAATTCTTTTGTTTTAGAAACCATAGCAGTCCATTAACATAGAGGACATATGATGCCAATGTAAAATAGGAAGATCACTAGCATTCATATTAAGACTCATTATTTAAATAATCTTTATTTCTATGAACTCTGGAGACCAGGTTCTGACATGCCTTACTCAGCCATTTCCTACCTTACCCTAACATAAAGGACTGAGGCTCATAGGGAGGGCTGTGTTTGCCACAGCACATCCTTGGGGGCAGGAACCCTCAGGACCTAAGCTGGTCCTCTTGCGGTTTTATGCTTGGAATTGAAAACTGACCATGGAATTGGGAACTAGAAGAGCTGCAATTGAGATTGTCCAACTG